ACAACTTCAGCTTCCATGTACTCTTTTTCAATTTCAACTTCAAATACTCTTATTTTTTAACTTCGGCCAAATACAGTCCAAATGCCTACTTAATATACAAGAATTAACCTTGGATGTGATGTTTTTCCTATATAATTTGCTTTTCAACAACTATTTATGATTTCCTTTGCTTATTATTAATATGATACAATAGTTAATTTAATATATTAAATTTTGTGCTCAGTCAAATGTTGCCATATAAAGTGGGAGAGAGCTTAGTCAATATAGACATGGCAATGATATAGTATAAATCCCTGTTCTCATGTCTCTCCTTTGTTTGGTTTTTTTTCACTGATGCACTTTAAGACTATCATTGGTCGATCTAAATCCTTAATGCTTGATACTAAGTTCTTAACACACTAGTGAATATTTGCTTGGAGCAATTTTCTATTTTTCGGATACCGCTTTGCATCTAATTTCAACTTATCTAATACTTGTGCTAGTTCAGTAATTCTTCCATTGCATGGCAAGGGTTTACAAGAAAACATGTAGCGATGTATTTTATTTAAGTGACAGCACTTAATCAAACCAAAATTGTTTATAATTGGTCTTGCAAATCGGCAATAGGATAGGGTTGTCATGAGAGGCATATTGTATGTTGAATTGACAAAGTAGTTGATCCTTGCTTATTTTCTAGATTAATTACTTAAAACGGTGATTTTATTAGTGATTTGGAGTGTTTAGTTCTCTATGACCCCCAGCTGCTAGGTCTGTTTCATTGCCTGTTATTATTCACTGAATCTATTATTGTCCTTCAAATTTTTACAGACAACTGAATCGTGTTACATCATAAAACAGACATTTTTTTCTGATCCATAAGAAGATGTTTATGCCCATGTTACCGGTGAATTTTGGAATTGTTGGATGGTTTTGCTAGATAATAAAATTGTTATCCGCTTCTGCTTTTCAGGTATGACAAATTACAAAAAGGAAATCTAAGTGAAGATGAAATGTCACCATCCTCAATGCAAAATGCAGCTGCAAAGTATGTTATTCTTGAAGAACTGGAAGATCAAGATGATGGTCCTTGAAGTTCCCATACCACATTATCTGCATTTGTCAAATTATGTAAGCTTCTCAACTATAATGCTCTAATGCTCTCTGTATGTTGCATATGAAGGGGGAAATGCTTTTTATCGTCATAGCTTTTTATGAACTTTAATTAAATTCTCTTTTATCTAGTCTGGTGAACAAACTTATTAAAAAGTAATGAAGGTATATCAGATAAAAGAATTCTTCAAATCACAAAAATGGACGTAGGAGGTTATTTAACATCCTACTTAAACTCTGTATCTATGCCCAGAAACAAATTATGAATATTACTGTGGTTGTCTGTATTTAATGTTCTAGGAAAATCTGTATTTATTAAAAAAATGTCCTAGAAAAATCTATCAGGAAGTTGAGCTTGCGTTAGGCTACTATTTTGGTTGGGAAGTCGGCGGAAAGGCCTGGTAGTTAAACCTGTTATTTTTTTAACTGTTGAGCACTGGACTTTATGGAGACTACAAATCATTCTTGGTCCATGCACTTGATATGAACCGAGCTCTTGTGGATGAGATGAAGATGAGAAAGCCTTACTCCGCTTTGATCAGCCTGATCGCTGATTCTATATTTTACTTAATTTTTCATTATAGTATATATTTGATGCAGTTTCTGAAAATTACTTTGGTGTAGCATATTTTGGTTAACATTTTTTATTTCCCCTGAACTATATCTATCGTAGCTCGTCTGACAAGACATACCATATTAGTTGGAGGTAGTTGGATTTAAATCCAGTTGCTTGTTTCTGTTTGTGTATTAGCTCAATTTTCATGAATGCTTGTTACACTGATAAACTATGGATAGAAGTTTTTATGAGTCTAGCAAAGATTTTCGTAGCCAGCATATACGTGTAGAGTTGACCGACAACTGTTTGATTGTGATACGATTATTAGATGACTGCTGCCAATGCTGATATTTTCAAGAGAGGATGAGTGTCATATTTGAAGTTTTTATGAGTCTAGCAAAGATGTTTGTAGTCTGCATTACGTGTAGAGTTGACCGACGACTGTTTGATTGTGATACGATTACCAGATGACTGCTGCCAAAGCTGATATTTTCAAGAGTTGGTGAGTTGTCATATTTCAATTATACCAAGAAGCTCAAATGGGACCAAAGTGGCAACATCGACTGGTCTTTGTTCAGCTTAACCCTGCCCTAGACAGCCTTTTATCAGTTTGCTGGTGAAAGGAAGAAGCTTTTGTTCATCATTATTGTTGGTGAAAAGATTGATCAGTTTCCATACATAATCCTAAGGGCTCCATTTTTTGTTAAACAAATTTTCTACTTCGTTCTTATTGTATCGCTGTATTTGGCAGCAAAATTTCATCCTCATTTATTCAAATGTTTTTCCGGTTTTATCTCCTTCTCGTTGTGATCACCTTAGTAGCCAGTAGGCATTGGCCAGTTATAGATCTTTAGTTTACTTGTAAAACAGGTTTGCCATTGTATTTTAGACGGGCTTTTGCTTTGATTTATGCGTTGAGCCTCATCAAGAATGTTTGTCAACTAATCTCTTTTATCCTGTTATATTTTTAACCATGAAATAAATAATATTATAAGGTATAGAAGAAAATGTAGTTCATTCAAGGTTCAGAGAGAATAGTAGAAGCACTACTTTTAATTGATAATGTGATGCTATATTCTGTCTGCCTGTAAACCATATGAAATATTTATACGCAGCAGAAACCTGTAGAAAAGCTTGTTAGATTGGACATGGAGAAGCTAAGAGAATTCAATATATACTATATATACATAAAAATTAATTTTGATCTTGCCTGTGTTGTTCAAACATTATTGGCAGAATATGTTCGATCTAGCCATGTTTGAATCAAGGAACCAATTTTGTAAAACTGGTGCTACTTTCTTGAATGAAATTGGGTTGAGCCATCAACTATAAAGATGCAATAGAGAGGAAGATGCAAATACAGATGAGAGAGTCTCAGCATCCCAAGTAGAAATAAACACAACGTTATATATAAAAATTAAAAACTCCTTCCTTTCATAGGTAATCTGTGGGAACGTTGAAAGATGGGGCATTATTTAGTAGGAAAAAACATGATAAGCTTGGTACAAGTAACAAGTTAATCTCGTAAAGATGAATATTTTATTATGCCAAACGCAAAATTTCAACTAGGCTCATTCTCAAAATTATACGTCAAGGATCATCACGTAGCTATATATATATTTCTTTGTTCCTGGCATCATATCATTGACAAAGACTGCTTCTTTCTCACCAACTTCACATTCTATGATTTCGTTCAGCAAACTTCCAATATCCAATTGGCGTAATTTTTACTATTCAACTTCTAGTTTTGAAAAGTAGGCGCTTGTTGCTTTCTTGACCATTATTATATTTTGCATTAGAAAATGCATAGGCGGGTCATTAGGATAACTTATATATAATGCAATAAGCTTAGAATCTTTCAAACAACCAAAGGCACTTTGACCATTCTGTGGCTTTCACTGATGGCTCAACAGTTCCAGGGGAGACTGTTACCTACCAACTGAGATCTTTTCACTAATGAATAAAATGACAAGGACAGGACAAGGTACGATTCCTATGCGTTTGTAAAAGTACAGGTTGAAGCTGAACACGAAAAATAACCCTTTGTAGGAAATGGATGGAAAATTTGCAAATTATGTGTGAGATACGGAATAATAAGAGCATGCGAGCCATGTATTGTGTGAAGGGGCCAGGAATTAAATAAATAGTGGTTCAATAAGCCAAATTAGTTAGGCTATTGTGTTAAGAGTTCTGTGTATGAGGGAGTACACATTCCTTTCTTCTCTGGTTTTCTCCCCTTTTCTCACTCTCATACCTCTTTCATTTCTAAGTTACTGTTTCATTGCCCTTCTTCTATCATTATCTGTAATATCAATCCGGCAGCTATAATATAGATATTCTATTTTCTTAATGATTTGGCGAGTTAAGTGTTTGTTACATTTCCGTATCAAATATAATATAAACCTTTTTATCGATGAAAACCATCTCTAAACCACCAGATTCTCATATATGACATCCAGATTCTTATAGCCAAATCATCACTTGAAGGATTCAGGCTATAAAGTGACACCATTTTCATGACAAAGAATAATTACCTCAAATCCTTTTTTTTGGGGGAGGGGGTAAATGCGGTATGTAATCCAAAAAATTAAGATGCAAAATCATCTGAATGCAATCTATATATTCTACGCATCTTATAGTACAGTGAATTCGCAATTAATATTCGTAAAACACTCAAAGTCTATTACTCCCTCCCTCCGTTCACTTTTACTTGTCCAATATTCCAAAAATAGATTTTACTTTTACTTGTCACTTTTAATATATCAAGAAAAGACAATTTTTTTTTTCCTGTTATACCCACATTATATCTTACTCATTTCAAATTATTCTCTCAAATCCATTTAAAATATGCATCAATTAATATGGGCATCATGGTAAATTATGTACTTCATTTATTATTTATTAAGAGGCGTGCAAAGTCCATAGTGGACAAGTAAAAGTGAACGGAGGGAGTAGTACTTACTCTCTTTGGTCCATAATTAGTGAATTTTTTGCCTTTTCATTTTTGGTCCAAAATAAGTGATCATTTACATAATCAAGAAGGAATTAACTTTGTTTTTCCAAATTTTGCCCTTGTTTACAAATCCAATAAGTCAAGTTAATAATATGCTAATTTTAATCAAGGGTAATTTAGTCAAAATACTTTTTTTTTCTATGAATTAGTATTTTTTTCAGGGATACGTCAAAGGCTAAAAAATTATATATTCTGGACCGGATGAAGTAGAAAACTATTTGATGAAAGGTCATCCATGCACGTGAAAAGACATGAAACTGAACCATTATTTGGATAAACATCTATGCAAATCACAATTAATGCACATTAACAGTCCCGCATAACAAATCGAAACTCTTTAAGTTCAAGAAAAATTATCAAGCATTAAATGAGCGAATTTAGGATCCCTCCAAATGTCACGATCCAATTCAGGATCGTGACCGGCGCTCAGGAGCAAGTGTCTCCAAGTAAGTCTCATCAGTATTTTACAGAAAATCGGGCAGAGTTTTCCCTGTTTTTAGACAATCCAAAAATTTTCCCGGTCTCAAAATCAACAACAACCCATCCTAAAATCAAACCAACCAATCGACAACTTATCAATTAACCAAAACAAGTCTCCACCATTGCTAATCAACCCACTAACAACTAAAAACACTAATTATCTCCAACTTTGATAATAAAGAACGATACTCAACATAAGACTATAATAACAAAATAATACTCATGACACCAAAATGATGACTCTGGAGCGATTCTAAGAGTTCAAAGAACGACCATAACAATAAATAAAATCTCTGCCCGTGCGAACAAGTGCAAGGCTCACCAAGAAACTATATCAACCTGTGCGCTCTAATTATTGAAATCCTCGCCCGCGTCAACTGCTGTCTCTGTAAACAAAATTAGCGGGGAATGAGTCGCTAGCTCAGTGAGTAATAACACTTAACCACAATCGATTTTATTGGGGACCAAGTCAGAAACATGCTAGTATATTAAACAAAAATATCATAAAATACTCTTTCAAAAACAATAAATAATTTTCAGTCTCATCATGTTTTTCTTGTAGTATAATATAATTAACAATTCAGTAATAAGCTCGGTAACCACTGTACAATATCAATATTCACATTTGGGAGGTTATAATGAACGGATCATGTAATCGGTATAATTGTGGACTTCTTCGCAAGAAGTCAAATATAACGGTAGTCCCTACTCGAAGGAAATCAATAACAGTATGCTAGTTCTACCTTCCCACTAGCGAGGGCTGTAACGGTAATCGGTAATTACAAGGTGCACCAGGTCTAACGAATCCGCCGTTAGCTACGGGATCCTTCAAAGTCTACTCCCATTTATACTTGTCTCTGTAATCCGTATATGCTCATAGAAAAATATTTTAGAACAATTAGGGAATTTTGGTTCTTATCAAGTCATATAATTTTATTTCGATAACAGTAATTCAAGTAACGGTAAAATAGATCTAATGACAACGGAAATATTTAAACAACGGTAACCATCTCAAATAACTATCTCGGTATCATATCGAGTAAAAGACTTGTCCCACATGCAACTCAAAATAATCAGTAACACATTCATATTAAAAATCATGTGTAAATCATGCAAGTTATGAAAACACAAATTGCGGTAAGATTACTACTCACAGTACTCGTGCCGAAATACCAAATGCTTCACCTCGAGCAATTCATACAAATTCCTCCAATCAATCTATAATTACATAATATCGATCTCATGTTAATTTTCTCGTTTAGACTAATTCATGGCTAATTTAGAATACTCAACCCCCGAGGTTTCATGTTTGACTCTTAATTTGGCGAATTATATTTACCCTCATATAGTAATTACTAATCTATCAACTCCAACCTATTCATATAATTTACCCAGTTAATTCATGGAAAAGTCTCATAATTTTTTTTCCAATTTCCTTAGCTTTATCTTTCAAATTCTTAATCCAATTCCAAAATAATATCAACTCAGCCCTATCAGAATTATGTATATAAAGTTCCATTGTCTTAAAAGAGGAAGAAATACATGTAACTACCTGGAGTGTATTGCTGAAACCCAAGGAATTGTATGCCAAAGATTAGATGAAACACGATCTTCGGCGCTAAAGAAACACCCGAGAATCTCTTTCTTTTGTTTTTCCCGTTCGATGCTTGGGATCTTTTTTTTTTCTTCTGAAACCCGTTTTGCTTCTGTTTGCCTTACCCTTTCTTTCCCTTTTCCCCTTTCTATCTTTGTTTGTTTTGTTGTTACAAAAAATGGGCTTCGGCCCTTTATTGAATGCTTTTCTTTTTTCTTATTTTTTTGTTTTGTTTTATTTTTTATAGTTAGTTTCTTGTTATTATTATTTTGCTAATGACCAATATACCCTTATTAAAAAAATATAGGGTATTACATCCTCCCCACCTTATGAAATTCGGTCCCCGAATTTAGCTCTGGTACGTACCTGTAGACTGAAATAAATGAGGATACTTGACTTGCATAGCATCTTCTATTTTCCATGTAGCTTCTTCAACAGTATGATTTTTCCATAAGACTTTTACGAACACAACTTCTTTTGACCGTAGTTTTATTATTTGTCTATCAAGAATAGCCGTCGGCTCCTCCTCGTAAGACAACTTCTCATCGATCGGTATAGTCGGTGCTTGAAGCACCTGAGATGAGTCTGATATATATTTTCTTAGCATTAAGACATGAAACACTGGATGAATAAAAGACAACTTAGGAGGAAGCGCCAAACAATAAGTCACAGCTCCCACTCGCTCTAGTATCTCATACGGTCCTATAAACCTGGGGCTTAACTTGCCCCTTTTCCCAAACCGCATCACACCTTTCATAGGGGAGACTCGTAGGAACACTTCGTCCCCAATTGTGAACACTAAATCTCTTCTTCTCTTATCAGCATAAGACTTTTGTCTACTTTGAGCTGCAAACAATCTCTGTCTGATCAACTGGACCTTGTCCATAGCTTCTTGTACTAGGTCGGGTCCCAATAAGTTAGTCTCACCAGCTTCAAACCATCTGATAGGAGAACGACATCTTCTACCATACAATGCTTCGTACGGTGCCATTTGAATACTAGGCTGGAAGCTATTATTGTAAGCAAATTCAGCTAAAGGTAGATAAGTGTCACAACTACCTCTAAACTCAAGAATGCAAGCTCTCAACATATCCTCCAAGATCTGTATAGTACGTTCAGACTGCCGGTCTGTTTGTGGATGAAATGCAGTGCTAAGATCTACTCGTATACCCAATGCTTGTTGAAAAGATTTTCAAAAGTGTGAGGTAAATTGTGATCCTTTATCAGAGATGATGGATATTGGAACTCCGTGAAGTCGGACAATTTCGTTCATAAATATCTGGGCATACCTCACTCCACCATATGTAGTCTTTACTGGCAAAAAGTGTGCTGATTTTGTAAGTCGATCTACAATTATCCATATCGAATCATAACCTCTAAGACTTTGTGGTAGACCGGTGACAAAATCCATAGTAATTCTTTCTCATTTCCACTCTAGAATCTCAATTTGTTGTAACAGTCCTGCGGGTCGCTGATGCTCAATCTTGACCTGTTGACAAATCAAACAACTAGAAACAAAGTTAGCAATATCTTTCTTCATACCTTCCCACCAATAAAATTGCTTCAGGTCATGGTACATTTTTGTGGATCTAGGATGTATAGTGTATTTAGAGTTGTGGGCTTCTTCAATAGCTTGTCTCAACCCATCTACGTCTGCTACACATAGCCTATCGCCCATTCGAAGAACGCCATCACTTTCAACCATCATATCCTTTCTTTTACGAGCTAAGGCCTCATCTCTGTATTTGCATAATCGTTCATCCTCATATTGGGTGGCCTTAATGCGCTCAACTAATGAAGACTTAGCTTGAGCACAAGCCAACAATGACTCTGAATTTCTGACACCAAATCTGATACCTGTATCTTCTAGTCTCTGAATATCTTTGGCCAAAAGTCTCTTTGCAGGAGCTATATGTGCCAAACTCCCCATAGATTTTTTGCTCAATGCATCAGCCACCACATTGCCTTTTCCAGGATGATACAAAGTAGAACAATCATAGTCTTTTGAGTAGATCCATCCACCGATGCTGTCAAAGATTCAGATCTCTCTGCTGAAAGATATAGTTCAGACTTTTATGGTCAGTATAAATCTCACAAGTTTCTCCATATAGGTGATGCCTCCAAATTTTTAGAGGAAATACCACTGCAGCCATCTCCAAATCATGTGTAAGATAGTTTTGCTCGTGCTTTTTCAATTGTCTCGAAGCATAAGCTATAACGCGACCATTTTGCACGAGAACACATCCTAATTCCACCCTCGAGGCATCACAGAATACTGTAAATCCTCCAGAACCTGATGGTAAGGCTAATATTGGTGCAGTTGTCAGACACGTTTTGAGTTTCTGAAAGCTCTGCTCACATTCCTCCATCCACTGAAACTTTGTATTTTTCTGTGTTAGCTTGGTCAGCGGCGCTGCTATTCTGGAGAAATCCTGCACAAAACGCCTGTAATAGCCTGCTAAGCCTAAAAAGCTGCGAATCTCTGTAGGAGAAGTAGGTCTGGGCCATTTCTGCTCAGCTTCGGTCTTCTTAGGATCTACCATAATTCCATCTTTGGATACAACATACCCCAGAAATGTTATCGAGTCTAGCCAGAATTCACACTTTGAGAACTTAGCATAAAGCCGATGTTCTTGCAATGTTTGCAACATAGTCTTGAGATGATCCTCATATTCTCTTTGGCTACGTGAATATATCAGGATATCATCAATAAATACTATTACAAATCTATCCAGAAACGGCTTGAACACCCTATTCATTAAATCCATGAATGTCGCTGGAGCATTAATCAGTCCGAAAGGCATCACAAGAAACTCATAGTGCCCGTATCGAGTTCCGAAAGCAGTCTTAGAAATATCTTTATCTTTGATTCTAAGCTGATGATAACCAGAACGGGGTCAATCTTTGAAAAGTGGGCAGCTCCTTGTAACTGATCAAACATGTCGTCTATACGAGGCAAAGGATATTTATTGCATATTATTATCTTGTTCAACTGCTTGTAGTCAATGCACATTCTCAGGGATCCGTCTTTCTTCTTTACGAACAGTACTGGTGCACCCCATGGTGATACACTAGGTCTAATAAAACCCTTATCTAACAAATCCTGTAACTATTGCTTTAGCTCCCTCAACTCTGCTGGTGCCATTATCGATATGGGCTATGTGTCAGGTAGCAAATCAATACCAAAGTCTATTTCTCATATTGGAGGCAATCCTGGTAAATCCTCAGGAAATACATTAGAAAATACTCTCACTATTGGTACATTTTCTATACTAACTGTTTCCTTTCTTGTGTCATTTACAATAGCTAAGATAACTAAGCAACTTTTCTTCAGAAGTCGTTGAGCTTTCATAAAATATACAACTTTGCAAATCTTTGGAACCTGACTCCCTCTTAGAATAAAACTGGGTTCATTTGGTATCTCAAACTTAACTATCCTTGCATGCCAATCGACTATAGCATAGCAAGAAGATACCAATCCATTCCCATCAGCATGTCAAAGTCAATCATATCAAGTACAATAAGGTCAGCTAGGGTATCTCTACCCTCAACACGAATCTGACAAGCACGATACACGTATTCAGCTAATAGAGACTCTCCAACAGGAGTAGAAACTAGAAAAGGATCATTCAATAGCTCAGGCTGTCTACTAAGCCTCAAAGCAAAGTACGAGGACACATAGGAGTGAGTAGATCATCAATCAACGCAAGTGCATCAAATGAACAGACAGAAAGAATGCCTGTAACCACAACATTCGAGGCCTGAGCATCCTGTCTAGTAAATGCAAAAACTCTTGCCAGACCTCTACCAGCATTCCCTTGTCCTTGATTCACAGTAGCGCGGTCTCCAGCACCTCGACCTCTATTTCCTGTACCTGTAGCACCTGAAGTACTACGAGTAGTCTGAGTCAGTGCAGCTGACTGAATCGAAGCCTGGTTGAAATTTCTCAGAGGCTGAGGGCAATCCCTCAAGTGATGTCCCAACTGGCCACACCGAAAGCACTCTCTGGTTAGAACACGACATTGGCCCAAATGTGATCTACCACAGGTCTAGCAGACTGGAGTACTGGCATATATCTGCCCAAAATTACGATGTCCAGATGCTGACGGTCCCCTAGTACCCTGTCTATGATGTGTCCTATATGTGGACTATAAAGACAAATGTGTCCCTGTCTGAGAACCCTGTTATTGTTTTCCCTGATTTCCTGCTCTTCGACTTTCACTAAAACTGCCACTGAAAGACCCTCCTGTCTTGGCCTTCTTACGTAAATCACTAGCTACACGCTCATCATGTCCCTTGTTTTCAATCTTTCTAAAAAGGTCGACTACATCAGAGTAGGATAAAGTCTTCATCTGTGGGGCTACTGTAGTGTATATACGACCAACCAATCCATCAACAAACCTCTGAACTCGAGCTTCTTCGGTAGGCATTAAGTAAGGAGCATATATAGCCAGCTTACAAAACTTAGCGTTATATGTTGACACATCCATATTTGGAGTTTGAACCAATCTCTCAAAGTCTCTAGCATATTTTTGCATCAGGCTGTCTAGAAGAAAATTATTCTTGAACAACTTAGTGAACTCGTCCCATGTCAGTGGTGTTGCTCCTGCCGGCCTTCCTAGCAATACAGTTTCATACCATGTGTTGGCCATATCCTCTAGTTTGTATGCTGCGAGCTCCACGGCTCTCTCACTAGAACATCCTAGAGCACATAATACCTTGAGTGTCCCATCCTAGAAACTTTGAGGATCTGTTGAATTATCAGAACCTGTGAATTTTGGTGATTTCAATTTTAGGAACTCTTGTAGTGATACTTCCTTATTTCCGAAAGTCTGAGTCTGTGCAGGTGCTTGTGTCTATAAAGTAGCCTGATGAGTTAAACTTCCACCCTGAGGAGGCACCAATGCCTCTATCACATTCAATAACCTTGACACTGCGTCTGCAGGTAAGGCAATAGTAGGTACAACAGTTGGCACTGGTGGTGGAGCGTCCTGAACTCCCTGCCCTTGCACTTGATCTGGCATAGCAGCTTGGGGTTGACCCATGTTCCCAACTTCAGGTTGAGGAGCAGTCTGTCTTCTAGTTTGATGAACTACAACTTGACCGCCACCCCGGGTAGTACCACGTCCAGCAACACGTCCAGCAGATGAGGGTGTGCGTGTCCTAGCCATCTGTGAAATAAATATTCCAAAGTCAATCTCAAGTTATCTCAACGCACGATCAAAGAACGAAAGAAGGGAAAACATTCCTAGATGTTCAGTAGCCTCAAGATCATAAGTATGGGCACCTGCATACCCATGAACAAGACTCTACTAAATATTGCTCTATGACTCAGAACTTAAAGCCTATGCTCTGATACCAACTTTGTCACGACCCAATTTAGGATCGTGACGGGCGCTTAGGAGCAAGTGCTCCCAAGTAAGCCTCATCGGTATTTTACAGAAAATCGGACAGAGTTTCCCCTATTATTGGACTATCCAAAAAAAAATTCCTATCTTAAAATCAACAACAAACCATCCTAATATCAAACCAACCAATCGACAACTTATCAATTAACCAAAATAAGTCTCCACCATTGCTAATCAACCCACTAACAACTAGAAAAACTAATAACTCCAACTTTGATAAAAAAGAACGATACTCAACATAAGATTATAATAACAAAATATTACTCATGACACCATAACAATATATAAAATCTCCGCCCACGCGAACAAGTGCGAGGCTCACCAAGAAACTATCAACATGTGCACTCTAATTAACGAAATCCTCGCCCGCGTCAACTGCTATCTTTGTAAACAAAATACGCGGGGAATGAGTCGCTAGCTCAGTTAGTAATAACATTTAACCACAACCGTTTTTATTGGGGAAGTCAGAAACATACTAGTATATTAAACAAAAAATATCATAAAATGCCCTTTCAGAAACAATAAATAATTTTCAGTCTCATCATATTTTTCTTGTAGTATAATGTAATTAACAATTCAGTAATAAGCCCGATAACCACTGTATAATATCAATATTCACATTTGGGATGTTTCAATGAATGGATCATGTAATCGGTATAACTGTGGACTTCTTTGCAAGAAGTCAAATATAACGGTAGTCCCTACTCGAGGGAAATCAATAACAGTATGCTAGTTCTACCTTCCCACTAGCGAGGGTTGTAACGGTAATCAGTAATTATAAGGTGCACCAGGTCTAACGAACCCGCTGTTAGCTACGGGATCCTTCAAAGTCTACTCCCATTTATACTTGTCTCTATAATCCGTATATGCTTATAGAAAAATATTTTAAAACAATTAGGGAATTTTGATTCTTATCAAATCATATAATTTCATTTCGATAACAGTAATTCAAGTAACGGTAAAACAGATCTAGTGACAACAGAAATATTTAAACAACGGTAAACATATCAAATAACTATCTCGGTATCATATCGAGTAAAAGACTTGTCCAACATGCAACTCAAAATAATTGGTAACATATTCATATTAAAAATTATGTGTAAATCATGCAAGTTATGAAAACACAAATTACGGTAAGATTACTACTCACAGTACTCGTGCCGAAATACCAAATGCTTCACCTCGAGCAATTCATACAAATTCCTCCAATCAATCTATAATTACATAATATCGATCTCATGTTAATTTTCTTGTTTAGGCTAATTCATGGCTAATTTAGAATACCCAACCCCCGAGGTTTCATGTTTGACTCTTAATTCGTCGAATTATATTTACCCGCATATAGTAATTACTAATCTATCAACTCCAACCTATTCATATAATTTACCCAGTAAATTCATGAAAAAGTCTCATGAATTTTTTTCCAATTTCCTTAGCTTTTTCTTTCAAATTCTTAATCCAATTCCAAAATAATATCTACTCAGCCCTATCAGAATTATGTATATAAATTCCATTGTCTTAA